ATTATCAGATTTTTAAGTTCTTGACAACACTAAATGCAAAATGTTATACTGCTGTAGTTTTATTAATACAGATTTAGATAATCAAGTGGGTTACTATTCATGTTTTGTCCAGTTCAAATTATTTTTCTAAGGACAAACATAAAATTTATTATAATCTAAGCACAAATCTGCTTGTATTATTTTTATTTTTTTGTTGGTCATGGGGCTTGAACTCTGGGCCTGTCCCTGAACTCTTCAGCTCAAGGTGAGTGCTCTACCACTTCCAATGCCATTTCCAGTTTTCTAGTGGTTAATTGGAGATAAGAGTCTCCTGGATTTTCCTGCCCGGGCTGGCTTTGAACCTTGATCCTCAGATCTCAGCATCCTGAGTCACTAGGATTACAGCTGTGAGCCACCAGTGTCCAGCTTGTTTGTTTTTCTGTCCGTTGTGGGGCCTGAACTCTGGGCCTGGGTGCTGTCCCTAAGTTCTTCAGCTCAAGGCTAGTGCTCGACCACCTGAGCCACAGTGCCACTTCTGGCTTTTTCTGCTTATGTGGTACTGAGGAATCAAACCCAGAGCCTCATGCATGCAAGGCGAGCACTCTACCACTGAGACACTTTCCCAACCCTTGTTTGTATTTTTTTTTAAGACAAGGTGTCACTATGTACTTGAGGCTGGCCTTGAACTCAGAATCCTCCTGTCTTAGCATCCCAAAACTGGGGTTGAAGGCATATTCTCATGTTTTACCATACTCAGAACTCTCTGGATGAGATACCTTTTTCTTTTGCTAACCCTGGGGCTTGAACTCTGGGTCTGAACACTGTTGCTGAGCTCAAGGCTAGCACTCTACTACTTGAGCCACAACTCTACTTCTGAGTTTTGTAATTAATTGGAGATAAGAATTTTATAAACTCTCCTGCCTCAGTTGGCTTTGAACCCATATCCTCAGATCTTAGCCTCCTGAGTAGCTAGGATTACAGATGCCTCTATGAGCTACTAAAAAAAAAAAAAGAAAAGAAAGAAAAAAAACAAAAACATATACACGGAAGTTCTTAATTTTAATATTGACAAAATTTATCAGTTTTTTGGCAAAGTAGCAGGGTATAAAATTAACCCTCAAAAATGAATGGCTTTGGGGCTGGGAAGGTGGCTCAGTGGTAGAGCGCTTGCCTTGCATGCATGAGGCCCTGGGTTCGATTCTTCAGCACCACATAAGCAAAAAGAAAACAGCCAGAAGTGGCGCTGTGGCTCAAGTGGTAGAGCACTAGCCTTGAGCTGAAGAGCTGAGGGACAGTGCCCAGGCCCAGAGTTCAGGCCCC